AACATGGTGTCCTACATTCCTCTCATCCTGGACCCAAACACTGCTGGTTCAGAACTCATCCTGTCTGAAGATCTGACTAGTGGGACTGTAGGAGAGGAACAGAAGCTTCTTGATAATCCAGAGAGGTTTGGGTTTTGGTCCTGTTCTGTCCTGAGTTCTGAGGGCTTTAACTCAGGGAACCACAGCTGGGATGTTGATGTTGGAGACAGTGGAGGTTGGAGACTTGGTGTGTTAGAAGAGTCTACCAAGAGGAAGGGAATTATAGTGTCTGGATTGTTGATTATGTGGTTGTTTGAAGGGAAATACTATGCACAATCTCCACCAGCTCCTCCTGAAGTTCTGTCAGTAGAGAAGAAGCTCCAGAGGATTCGAGTGAATCTGGACTGGGACAGAGGAAAGTTATCCTTCTCTGATCTGGAGACAAACACACATATACACAGCTTTCACACACACAAATTCACTGACAAGATGTTTCCATTATTTTCTACTGGGGATGATACAGTAAAAATCTTACCCATGAAGATCTCAGTGAGCAAACAGCAGCTGTGATGTTCTCAGCATTAGGAACACAAAGTCCAAATGAAACCTTATTGATCTGATTGAAACTCAGTATTTGAAACAGGAAACTGGAGATGATCTGATCTGATCTGACTGATCATCTGGTTGTTTTCAGGTCAGTTTCAGATCTGCTTCATAATCTGTCCAGATGCTACAAACTAAGACATGAAGTGGATGATGTGGAGTTTAGTTTGGTTCTGACAGCAGATCCAGGTGTGCTGATCATGAACAGGGAACAGGTGAGGTCAGTGTAGACATCAGGACCCTGGAGAGCTCTGCTGATGGAAACAAACTGAGATCCAAACATCCACACGGATGAACACAGATGAAGAAAACTTTCAGAGTCTCACATGTGTATTTTAGGAACATCTGAGCAGATTTCATTTTAAATATAGCTGACTATCAAACCTTCTCTTCTGGTAAATCAGATCCCAACACTAAGGCTTTCATGCTGATGATTTCTACTATAGCTTGGCTCATTGAATCCAGGTGTTTCTGTTTCTGTTCTTTAACTAAAGAATTACAAAGAATATACTCAGCTGTCTGCTAATTTTCTAGAGCTAAACTGGAACACATCTATTTTTTTAAATATATTTTGGTGATGTGTGAGGCACTGCTGACTTGCAGCATAAAGTTCCTAGGTTTAAACCCCGTTTTTGGTTTCTGTCCTCATGCAATGTTAAATGGTAACATGTGTGCAAATATTCAACCCTACAGTACCTACAATACTGAGAACTTTAATAAAAGATTTAGAAAAGGTCAAATTATTATGTTAACATTATCTGATTTAGGGAGAGTCTTTATTCTTATTGCAAATCAACAACATGATCATCTGTGGCACTGTTTCTAAATTCGGAATACAATAATCAATAAAAGAGAAAGTTGTGAAAAAAGAAAAAAAATTGTGATAAATCTTGGTTCATGAATCTCTTAGTTTTTGTTTGACAGTTTAAAGTTTCACAGATAAATATAAACATAACGAGGGACAGTATTGTTGATGCTGTATTTTAAGGCTGTTTTTTTTTTTAAAATCTCTGATGTTTTTAAAGGTCTGATTCATTATCTGAGCAATAATGAAAATCAGTTAGTCTATTCTTAACCAAATTTTAACTTTGATAACTCAAGAAAATACTGAACAACTGATTTTTTTTTTTAAATCTATTTAAATCAAAATGTAAATAAACATGTTGTTATCGGAAAAAAGTATTATTCTATGGAATCAAATTAAATAAAGGAGATTGATGGTAATAATTCACTTGGAACTTTATCTGTCTTTGCAAAGAAGAGATCAAGACAATCATAACAGCCCTCATAACTGGATGTTCTGTCCGGTCTGCTCTAGACATGTTTTTTCTAACTTAAAGTCTGAAAAGAGCTATTAAGATATTTAAAGCAATCATAATTTTTATTAGGAAAGATTCAAAGGCAAATCAAAGGAATAGTGGTGTTGCTGGCTGAGGAAAAAAAGAGCATTGGAGGGAACAGATTCATGTGCATAGCTAACATATAATCAAATATAGGACTGTCTTTGTAATACAACAGAGGAAGGTGTTATCGTAAGTTATATTATAATGTTATTGCTCTTCAAAGTAAATGTAATCATTTGATCCAAGTGTTCTTGTCTGCAAAACCAATTTTAACCTGCATCTTTACATGTGATGAAGAGAGCTTCAAATATGCTGGTGAAGATTCTGTCATCCAGGTCAAAGTGCTTCAAATAGTTTACCAGTGAGTCAGGTGTGTCTGAACTTGGCAGAGAACATCTACGGTGTCATCAGGAGCAGGTTGGTTCCTGATGACACCGTAATTCTCCTAATAGAATTTTAAAACCTTCCTTTGGAACCTTACCAAGAACAATAGCATCTAAAATTAAGTAGAAATTATTTAAATCATTGTGCTCAGGAGACAACCAGGGGTTACGATATATGTTTCTAACCATCACAACTCAGGGATTTCTTGACTCAGAATGTAAGATCCAGAATTTCAAGCGACACAGACAGTGGGATAAATTGAAGCGTTTATTTTTTTAGGAAAACAGAAGTGGTCTGTTGATCTACAGCGGCTGCTGTGGGGCACCGCCCATCACTGGAAACTCTGTTTTGAGAAAAACACAGGTAAGTGACCATGATAATCTGACAGAGGATGATTGTCCCTGTGAGTCACTTACCTGGTTTGACAGTTCAGTGCATCGCCAGAATGAACAAGATAGTGCAGTCCCGGGGGGCAAGCAGGAGCCGGAGCCAGGTCAGGCAAACGGATCAGAACAGAAAGGCTCAGAGGTTCAGGAGTCCGAAGCCCGATCAGAACAGCAAAAGGCTGGTTAAGCGTCCCAGGAGTCCACGAAGAGTGCAGACAGAACATTCACATGGGAACAGGCAAGTTAAGTGGTTGAGAGGCAGACCAGAGTAAGGAAATTAGAAACACTACAGAACGCTCCAACTGCTCTCTCCACTGATACCAGACAGGAACAGGGCATGCTCAGTAAATGAGAGGTAGAACATGATCTGGAAATCAGGAACACTACAATACACTAAAGAAAAGCAGACACAGATCACTACATCCTCCAAACAGTTCAGGTAGAGGAGGATGTGGATTCTGACAGAACTGGGCACAGAAGCAGCCAGCACATGCAGGCAACCCAGAATCTCCACATGCCAGCATTGAAAAAGCAAAAAACAAAACAAAAAGCACACTGTTCAAACTCAGAAGGCCCCACTGTCTGTCTGATTATGGGTCCATGTTTGGCTAGATTATTCTTTCAGGCACTCAGAACCTTGGACCCAGAGTTAAAACAGACAGCACACAAATCTATCAAGACAAGTGTTTATTAAAAAAAAAAGCAGTGCTCGTGCTCAACAATAGGGGGGAGGTAAACTGGACACTCTGGTTCTGAGTTCAGTCTGAGCCCAGAGGAAGGAGTAGAGTCCAGGCGGGTGGTTCCTCCACAGCTTGTGGTGAGAGCTGTCTCCAAAGTTCCAAGTGAGGAGCTGCACAGGCTGATGAGCAGGAGCCAGCTGACGCATAGGAGCAGAAGTATCCGTGGGGTGAAATACAAAGCCAGAGTCGTAGCAGAACCAGGTTTCCTGGCCAGAACATCAGAGAGCAGAAGATGTACAAGAGGAGAAACCAAGCCAAGGTCAGAACACAGATCTAAATTCGGTAAGCCGGCAGAGTCCAAAACAGATCTGGCTAGCAGAGTAAAACAGGGACAAAGGAGAACTCAGAAGTCCAATGGAAGAAACAGGTCAGGATCAGACCGTGGACCCTCTGTTGGGTCTACGGTCTGGCCAGAGTGTTCTGTCATGATCGGTTTAAGGAATCTGACCCATATGCAGAGAAACCCCTCAGACAACACGGAAAAAAGTTTAACAGGTTTATTTGATGCGATGTGAACGGTGGTTGGATCTGGAACTCAGTGAACATGTGAACCGGAACTGGAAAGTCTGAAAGGGAGATCACAGAGATCAGTTCAGGGACCGTGGAAAAAGAGACTGCGGCTTGAATTATACTGGAGTGGGACTCACGTTTGAGGGGACTCTTATCAATCCTTTAATTCAGTCTGTGTGGGTTTATCCAGAGAAGAGGGAACTCGTTGAAGAACGGACAGGTAGACATACATTGGACCCGGAGGAGTAATGGAGCTTGGATTTCCGATGGGAACATGAACGGATCATGTGGAAGTTTTCCCCTGCTCAGTATGAACTCACTAAATCCTTCCAGGGAGAGAAGGTCCAGGTATCCAGTTACACTAACGAAGCTCAGGTTAGACTCTGCTAATCTCAGCTTGGCTAGAGTACCCAAAACTGGCAAACACTCTGGCGTTGAGGTAGTGACAGCCTACTGCTCAAGTACTCCTCCAGTAATGAAACAACAAGCCGCAGGTGTGCAGGGAGGGCCAACGAGGACAGGGCACCACCTGGTGGTGAAGAGAGTAGAAAAACACAAACAACCCATACAGAAACTGTATTCCTAACAGCCTCCTCCCCTCTTACTCCTCTGGACTGCAAAATATTTTGTCATTACATCTCATGCTTGAATAAGGTGCAGAGTGGGTGAGTTACTTAAGTCGGGTTTTTGCAAAATGTGCATTTGAACTTTGGGACTCATTCTGCTGATGTTTCATCTAAAGGCCTGTTTTCCTGATCAGCTGGGGCTTTTATGCAGGGATAAGCATGAATGAAAGATGATCTGATGACACGGAGTGGTGGCGGGGTCTGCTCTGAATGCATTTTTGATGTTAGAGTAAACCAGGTCTAAAAAGTTTTCACCCCGATTTGCAAAGTCCACATGTTGGTAGAAATCAGGGAGAACAGTCTTCAAGTTAGCCTGATTAAAATCCCCAGCAATGATGAAAACACCTTCTGTGTATGCAGATTGGAGCTCAGAGATAGAGTTTAGTTTAGATTGGAGCCTAGTTTAGAGTCTTCATGGCCTCTTTTCTAGAAGCACTGGGAGGCACATAAATATTAGTAATGCTAACCACACTGAACTCTCTGAGCAGATAGAATGGTCTGCATTTTACAGTCAGAAACTCGATGTTGGCAACTCGAAGCTGGCAACCAATCTAGCATTCTTGCACCAGCTGTTGTTGATGTAAACACAGAGCCCACCACCTTGGGTCTTACCGCAGAGCTCTTTGTTTCCTTTTTTGAAGAGAGTTCGGGTCAGAGATCATCCATTTTTTTTCCCAACAAGCGGACGTTGGAGAGCAGTACTGATGGAAGCAGAGGTCCTTGCGGATTTCTCTTTAGCTTTGCAGTTAGCCCCCCTCTGCAGCCTCCCTTACTCTGTCTTGCGCATCTCTTCCTCTGTCCGTTATTTTCCGCTGTTGTTTTGTTTACATCTGTCCATAGCACTCCACAGCTTTTTAAATGGTTTGATGTCTAGTTTGTATCGTTTTAAGCAGCATATTTTGTGAAATTGTCGAAAGGAGCTGTTCTTGACCACTGCCTTGGAACACGGCCATGGAATTACAAGTGCCTGAAACAGAGTCAATGTTTCTTTGGTTTGTAATTAATAGCTCTGCTGATAGCCTAGCCTAGGTCACTAAATTGGTGGGGATAAATCGATTTTATCAGCCGGTCCAGAAGCCACACAGAATGTGTGAGGCCCAAAATCCTGGTACGTAAGCAGATTATAGTTATGATTATTCAACTAAGAACATTAAATTGGTTTTACCCTTTATTTTGAATTATTTAAATTATTAACTACAAATCCAGTTCTAGTTAATCATATTTTCATAATCTACAGGTAAATTATCACAACATCAGAATGCTGTTGCTAAAGTCGTACTTGGGGTCGGCGTAGCATCTTGGCAAGACCATATGTCACAGCTTGGGCAGTTCACTTTCCCACAGATGCCAAGCCTGGAGCAGGTCTTTTGGTAGGTGGGTATCATTCGAGCCTTGATCTTGTTCCAGAGGCACTGCACAATGACCTTGGCTCTGGTTGTGTAGAGAACAAGGAACTCAAGAATGTCGTACTGGGAAGTAGTCGATATATGTTGATAATTGTTGGCTCTGGACTGTCCCTCTGGTGATGCTTGTACCAACGTGTGTAGAACGTGCACTGCCATTCGAGTCCTAGGTTGTGCCCTTGCTGATAAACTGCTTCTTGGGAGAACCAGAGTATGCTGCTCTCTGACCGTGACTCTACAGGTAAATGGCCAATGACTGCAGGGACCTTACTACCCATCGCCGCAGCTCAAATTCACCCCCCATGAGAAGAGACTGAAGTTGGTCCACCAACTTCTTAGCTT